TTACTCAATGGTATGGTATTATTACCATATATATATATATATATATGGTATATATATATATATATATATATATATATATATATATATATAATTTTTTTTTTTTTTTGAGTTAGAGTCTCACTCTGTCACCCAGAGTGGAGTGCAGTGGCTGCTCCCGGCCACCACAGCCTCGACCTGCTAGGCTTACGCCTCAGCCTTCCAGGTAGCTGGAATTACAGGCGCGCGCTATCGCGCCTGGCTAATTTTTTATTTATTGTAGAGATGAGGTCTCATCAAGTTGTCCAGGCGGGTCTCAAACCCGCGGGCTCAGGCAATCCACTCACCTCAGCCTCCCAAGGCACGGGATTACAGGCTGAGCCACGGAGCCCGGCTTACTATTACCATATTAATGGATGTATTGGCAAGGTAAAGAAAGATAATTTCACCATTTTATTCCATTGTTAGAAAGCATTGGGTGTAGTATTTTCAATTTTATTCCTAGGTATCATATTCTATGCAATAGATTCATTGACAAATTAGCAAAATATAGACATGAGGTATAAGTGTAAGTGCTTTCTTATCCACATCATATATAATAATTTGCAAGTGTTTGCTTCATTTATACACCATTATTATACAGCACTGTTTTCCTATGATAGCACTATAAAAACTGCCAATGATTACTCGTCCAGTAAGAAATGGAATGCTCAAGTCTCATAGAGTAACTATATGAGACAAATAGACCTAAATGACATGGTAATTTCAAAATTATATTTTTCACACCTGCAAAATATCTACTCTATAAATTGCACAAGGTTATAGCTTTCAACAAGAATGTAAAAGTGCTTGCATTAACACATTTTATGTATGTTTTTATATCCACACTTGTGATAGCTGCTAAAATGTGTACACTGAGGTGAGTGGGTTGCCTGGACCCGCGGGTTCGAGACTCACCTGGGCAACTTGGCGAGACCTCTCTATAATAAATCAAAAATTAGCCCGGTGTGGTAGCGCGTGTTTGTAGTTCCAGCTACCTGGAAGGCTGAGGCAGAAAGATCGCCTGAGCCCAGCAGGTCGAGGCTGCGGTGGCCGGGAGCGGCCACTGCACTCCAGTCTGGGTGACAGAGTGAGACTCCAACTCAAAAAAAAAAAAAAAAGTGTACATTCCAAAAATGGATATTTTCTAAATTTTATTGTCCTTTTGCAAGATGCCTTTCTTTGACATTTGCAAATACTGAAAAGGCTCTCTTATGGAAAATTTTAAATGTACGATTTTTGGTCTGCTTAAACTATATGAATCTGAGGCTTTACTTCAGGTATATACCATATTTTGTATTTGAAACCAGTCAGCCTCTTATTTTCATGGCAATTAAATGACTCAACTCTTCCTATCTCATGCCAGTCCTTTTCAGTGGATATTTTAACAACAAAAAAAAAAATTGTGTTTGTGTGTGTGTGTGTGTGTGTGTGTGTGTGTGTGTGCGCGCACGCGTGCATGCACATGGGTAAACATACTGCAAAGAAAGATTACATAATGCTTAATAATGATTGAGTGTAGTTAAACCTAATAATTGTACTTTTGGCTCTATGCCTCTGAGACAAGAACCTTATTCAGAGTTTTTAAATACAGGAAATACACATTGAGGCATGTAAAGAATGTTTGGTCAGATTTTCCTTTGAAAGAGAATAGTTAATTGTCCCTCATCTTTATAAAGAGGCTTTCTTTGCCAAGATGTTTTCCTTAGAAAGTTGACCCAGTGTTAACCTGTAAAGAAAACAGACATTTTTAGATGATTGACCAACATATCCAAACTCGGTTTTAATGGGAGGATCTAAAGAAGAAATGTAAAATGACTTCTCTGGGTCACATTTACAATTATAATTCTCTAGCAAACATCCAAATTTACTGTTACCATAAGCAATCTTTCTTGAAGCATTTTCAAGACATTGATAGATGCTAATAGCTGATTTCTGTAAAAACACACTCCCAGAAGAACATGTAAGAGGTTAAAACTCATTTCATGAAGTCTGCCTAGCTCTTAATATTATATATCTTTGGCATGTGGTTGTATACCTTTTATCATTGAGAGTGGAAAAAAACGCTATTTTTAACTGGTACATGTGGGCTACTAAACAATTAGCGAATTAATAAAAGAGGATGGGAAAAATATAAGAAAATACATTATTTTTAAGTATCTAACAAGTATTCTCTAAATCAAGTAAACATAATAGGTTAGTGGCAGTGTTCATAGTTTCTTAAGACTTTAAGACTTAAATGTGTCAAAAATATGAATATTTAACCTCTTATAAAAGGCTCATGATTTCTGTATATAGCACTATAACATCTAGGTGCAAAGAAAATACACAATAACTATTATAATAAATAAAAGAAAAAATTTTCAGTGTTTCCTCTGGACTTCTCATTTATTTAGAGAAAATGAATAAAATATGAAGATCCTAATCTTGCTTTGAACCACAGCATACCAGTGAATCTTGTGTATTGTGTTTCAGGATAGAAACAAAGAACAGGAAGATTTCCTCATTTCTTCTCACTATCACAAGTCTAATCTTCACACATATGCTCACGCACACACGCATATATACATATTTATTTAGAAAAACATGTATTTGAGTTCCTCTATGAACATTTAGGAATTAGCCTACATTTCTCTTCATAATAAACCCCTTCAACTTTGCTGTTTGTCAAAAAATAAAAGTCATGAGACATGTTTGGGACATTCTGAGAAACAGTTTTTCTTTAGAATGCTCTAGGTATCCCAAATTGCTTCAATGGACACATGGAAAGACACAAGTGTCCAGTCTCTATTAGTAAAAGTTTAGTCAAGTTTGCTCACTATTTTTGGTACATGTACCACAGAAGCATCATTTAAGACATTACTTAAGATAATATGATTTATGCAAGAATTGTAACAGTTATTTCCAGATAGCATAACTTATTATCTGACAATCATGAGGGAAACACAAAACAGGAAGCATAAACATGTGAGGGGCAATCTTCATATAAGGAAAAGAACATTGTTTAGTTATCAGAATATGAGCGCTTTCATTCTGAATTTGCTGGGCAATAGCTCTTTGTGTTTAGAAGTGAACTAATTTCTATGGTTCTTACTTTTCACCTTTATAATATATGCATTTAAACTCCAAAAAAGTATATGATAAATCACAATAATTTCAATCATATGAATTTTAATATAAAACATATAAAATCAATTTAAAACATTTTCTTCATATTCTGTAAATGCCTGTAAGAATGAGTTAACTATTATAGACCCTCTCTGATTTCCTCTATTAAATGCAGGTACCCAATATAACCTGAAAATATTGAGCTTAACATTTTTTTTTTTTTTTTGCAAAAGGGAAACTAGAAAAAGACTGCTTCCCACAAAAAATTTATTAACAATAGGTGCTCAATTAACTGTTCTTAAACAAGTAACAATGTCACCTTTTATATAAATATTCAGGGGAGAGATTTTTTAAAAGTCTTTTTCTTTCTTTAGTCATAGCCCCATCTACACAAAAAATTCTGTTATAAAGACATCACTTCTATGAGGTGGTATTCATTGTAGATATACAGAAGTCAGTGGAAACCTAAGTTACAAGAAAGATCAGAGTATCATTCTAACCAACTGTATATTCACACATATGCTTAATAAAAACTTTCTGATAATATAATGAATGAACAATTCTTGAGGAAGTATATACAGTTGATGATTTTTTTCAAGAATTATCATCCATAAACTACTTTTTTTCATTTTAAATCTTCCATATCATTTTTTGACAATCAATTGAAAATGTAAAACTAGAAACATTAAAAAATATAAATGAAAGCAGCATTAACTATAGACTGATATTCAACTTCAGAAGATAAAATAAATACAGGTGTGTATTAGGGTAAAATTATGTTGATCATGTGTAAATGAAAACTGCCAATATAATTAATATTTCTCTTAACATGTCCCACCCATTGTTTTTCCTCCAGAAGACAAAGGTAGCAAAGGAGGAAACAGGAAAATCTGCTTCAGTAACTGAACATATTGATTTAATTATCTAAGAAGTCCAAATGCTAATACTCCTAATAATCAGCCATTCCTTTTGTGTTTTGGTAACATATATCCTCATACATTGTATATCAAATGGAATTTTTTGATTCACTCCTGACATTTCAAAGTTTCCATTTTTGAATTCCCCTAGTCTTAAGTATGTAGAACATTGTCTCCTTTGTTTGACAGGCGTAACATTTTCTCCAACATCTAGGACTCCATGATGCAAAATGTCATTTTGTCTATCTTCTGTTCCAGTATTCACTTTAATTTTTTTTATGACAACTGGATTTTCAAATACAATTACAAAGACATCTCCTATAGAAGGTGGTTTCCCCCAAAAGTACTCGTCAACACTACTGTAAGCCTTGCTTGCTTCATAATTTTCAAACACATTCATATTGGTGTATAAACTTGCAGGAGGGTTATCAGGAATGTCAAAAGATTCCTCTTCAAAATCATCATCTTTCAGCTTATTCTCAGTCCCTTTATATGATGAATAATAACCCATGTGTTGAAAGAGGGATGGTTTAAAACGAATCACGTTTTTCTGAGCCAACAGACCCCGAAAATGTGTCAACAGCCAATCGCAAGGCATTTCTTGATAAAACATTAATAAAAAATGGGCCAAACGTGGGAGATCATGAGAATGATAGAGTTTACCAATATAGCCAAGCTTAGAGAACTCAAGAGTGACCCAGTAAGTTCCTTCTAACGATGCAATGACTTTCTTGATGGCAGTTAAGAAATTTTTTGAACATCGAACATCATCTTCAAGCATGACATAATAGTCTGAAGTATTGGCACAAAAATTAAGCAGAAAAGCATAATCTACATTTTGCTTGGAGCGAAATTTGACTCTGTCTTCTGGATCATTGTAATTTCTTTTGAGACCATCCAGGATTGGGTAATAATCCTCTGGAGCATGTATAACCATTAATCTTCCTGCAATAATGTGGTGGGCAAATTTCTGTGTAATATCCTGAACCATGACATCACGCCAGGAAGAATTAAAGTCAGCTAGATGAACCACCACTGAAATTTCCTTCAGTTCTTCATAGCTGGATTGCTCAAAAATGGACTTGATTGTCTCAAGTAAATAGTTTCCTTTTTTTCGTTTTACCGAAGAAAGTCCAATTGTAAGATAACCTGAGCAAAAGATTGCAGAAGGAAAACAAATTAAGCGTGAAATAGAAACACAGAAGAAGAAAAATATTTGTTTTTTTCCTCAAACCTGCCACTATATTAAGTAAATCTAGTGAATGATTATGTATAGAACATCTTATGATTAAAGTCCTAAGCTAAATATATAAAGGCTAAAGTATTCTGTACATAATTTATATTTTTGATGGGAAATAAATTGCATGTTAAACACAATAATGTATGACTCTATTGCCATGAACATTTGTTTATAAAATTTAAAAAATGGTTTAAGGTATTCTGCAGCTTAATTTCCTTAGATATGCCCATTAGAGAAGATAGATAGATGCTTAGATAAACACAAGTCATTTTTTTAAATTCTGCAAAAAGGGAAGAGTGTTCAGTTAAGGTTGACAAACTAGTTTCAAATGATGAAAACGAAAATAAAGGAAACTCAATTATTTCAATCATCTTTACATTTTTCACAAAATACATGACATTTATTTTCAGTTTTTTTTTTTTTTTTTTTTTTTTTTTTTGAGTTGGAGTCTCTGTCGCCCAGAAGTGCAGTGACCGCTCCCGGCCACTGCAACCTCGACCTGCTGGGCTCCGGCGATCCTTCCGCCTCAGCCTTCTAAGGAGCTGGAATTACAGGCATGCGCTACCACGCCCGGCTGATTTTTTTATTTATTGTAGAGATGAAGTCTTGCTGCCCAGGTGGGTCTCGAACCCGCGGGCTCAGGCAATCCACTCACCTCAGCCTCCCAAAGGTGCGGGATTACAGGCTGAGCCACTGAGCCTGGCTTATTTTCAGTTTTTAATCACTGTCATTATTTTATACTTAAGACTTCAGTATTGGATTTCATAATTTTAGTTTCAAATTTATTTAGTATATGGATTAGAAAGCAATCAATATCATAAGATATATTTTACAAAACCTTTGTGCTACCATAGTTCAAGACATAAACATTACTTTTTTTTTATTTTAAAACAGAATTTATAGCAATTTTGCCTGAAGAAATTTTCATTCATATATTTAAAATCTAAAATTAGATACTGAATATATGAATATATTCAGAGAATAAAATAAAACCCTGAAAAATAGCAGTTTACCTCTGAGAAGTGTTAGATGGCTTTCTATTAAAATATTTTCACTTTTTAAAGATTCCACAGTTATTTGACTCAGAACTGAATAAAAATTCAGAGCCACTATTTGGATAATTGGGAGATGTTTATATGCACCAAGATCATTGTTGTAATATAGACACCTCTATGATGTTTGTGTGATGTTGAAAGGGTCCCATTCAAGGAAAAAAAAAATCTTACTAGTTTGTTAGAGAGGTTGAGATTCACACATTTTGTTTAAGTACCTGGGCTTACAACTCTGACTTCTGTTGAAACACAAACATGTTAACTGGTATCATTCAACTGTAAGCTACTAAACTTCATTGGTACTCAATAATAGTCTATACTTACAGAATAGTTTCTACATAAGAGACAGGAGTTTATCCATTGTATCTGTAATATGAATCTTAAATGTCAGTGTTTTGGGATAGGTTTGCTATTATCATCTGCTTTACAGATGAGGAAATTAAGTCACAGTGAGATGAGGAAACTTGTGCAAATTGTTACACTTAGTAGGTGGTATAGTATCAAGGTTCACACTACCCCAATCTTATCCTTGGTGGTGTTATAATGCCTCTTTTGTGTAAAGCAGTAACCATATGTGCCACGAGACATAAGTATATTTATCATGGAAAATCAGAAGCATTAATGTTTAAGCAAAGGTGGTGTAACAGATGGAGATAAAAAAAATAGTGGCAGTCTTATGCAATTAGAAGGAAGCCTTAGAACAGTAGACATTTGAAATGGTGAAATGAAAGGAAGTGAGATCTTTAAAAACCTAAATTAACAATTTCCTCAACCTAGTGATCACAAATTAATTCGCGTAAGCATATCTCAAAGGGGAAGTCAATTTTTGTGGTCGCCACATAATTTATTAAGACGTCCATGATATCAGCATATTTCATTGATTCTGGGATTTGTTTTCACACTGAAACTTTTTAAAATTTTATTTTAAAGATGTGGGGTACAAGCCGGGTTCAGTGGCTCAGCCTGTAATCCCGCGCCTTTGGGAGGTTGAGGTGAGTGAATTGCCTGAGCCCGTGGGTTCGAGACCCGCCTGGGCAGGCGAGATTTCATCTCTACAATAAATCAAAAAATTAGCCGGGCGTGGTAGCGCCTGCCTGTAGTTCCAGCTACTCGGAAGGCTGAGGCGGAGGGATCACCGGAGCCCAGCTGGTCGAGGCTGTGGTGGCCGGGAGTGGCCACTTCACTCCAGTCTGGGTGACAGAGTGAGACTCCAACTCAAAAAACAACAACAACAACAAAAAAGATGTAGGATACAATTCAGGATTAAGTATGCAAGCGGACATCATACGGGTAAAGTTTAGGCATCCTTTTGAATCTCACTTTGCCTGGTTTGAGTTTAGGTACCCTTGTTGATGTTGTGTCCCCACCCCCACCCTGGCAGTATCCTGCTACTATCGATCCCTTTCTTACAGAATTATGGTAAATATTCAGGGTCTGCTTATGAGTGAGAGTATATGATACTCTGTTCTTTGTTTCAGTGATAGATTTGTTCTGAGTATGATAGATTCTAAATCCATCCAAGTTACAGCAACATCCATATGTTTGTCCTTCTATATGACTGCATAATATTCCATTGTGTATATGTACCACATTTTTCTTATCTACTCCACATTGCATAATATTCCATTGTGTATATGTACCACATTTTTCTTATCTACTCCACATTGAAACATTTAAAACTCAAACTCCACATTGAAACATTTAAAACTCAAACTGCATATTATAATTGATAGCATCATATGTTTAAAATGAGTAATGCTTATACTTTCTCAGTGTAATATTTACTGTATTTATTAGATAATAGTACTTTTTATAAGCTATGGTATCTTGGAATCCATGAAATATCGTATGTTACTTCTCAGCTTCAAACTTTTTCTTTTTAAACAAACTAGTGTGCTGAATAGTTTCCTCAAAAAATTCACATTTACCTGGAATCTCAGAATGTAACCTTATTACTAAATAGGATATCTTTACACATGTAATTAAAGATCTTGAAATGAAATCATTCTGAATTTAGGGGTGGGCCCTAAATCCAATGGCTGATGTTCCTATAAGAAGTGGAAAGAACACAAGAAGACAAAGGGGAAAAAAGTCATTGATGACAGAGGCAGGGATTTAAGTTCTACTGTCAAAAACCAAAGAATGTCAGACCTCTAGAATCATGAGAGAATAAACATGTTTTTTTTCTTCTTCTTCTTGAGCTGGGGTCTCTGTCGCCCAAGTTGGTGTGCAGTGGCACAATTATGGCTCACCAAACAGCTCACTACAGCCTGAAACTCTTGGACTCAAGTGATCCTCCCACCTCAGCCACCACCTCCTCCCCTCCCAACCCTGAGTAGCTGGAGCGACTACTGTGTGTCACAACTCCTAGCTAATTTTATTTTTTGTAAAGATGAGGTCTCCAACTCCCGGTCTCAAGCGATCCTACTGTCTCGGTCTCCCAAAGTGCTGGGATTACAAGTGTGAGCCACCATGCATGGCCTAAACGGTTGTGTTTTTAAGCCACTAACTTTGTCATAATTTGTTATAGCAGACCGAGAAAACTAATACATTGACTTTTACTAATTCAAAACTTGTGGCAATCATCAAAACCAAACCATTAGAGGTTGGAAAATATAGAAATTTGAAAGCAGGTGTTTTTAAGCATTCTTTTATATTTTAAAGTATATTAATATTTCCTAGCTTTTTTATACCATCCTATAGCAAACTGTTAAAAGGGACTTATTATAATTAGACATCTCATTAAAATTTTTTAAAAGAGAATTGGGTGTATGAGTACAGCAATTGCAATTTGTGAAGAAACACTGAAGTCCTTCCCAAATAATATATTATCTTAGCAAAACCCTTAAATTTTTATTTCTATACAAATAAAACAAATTGTCATTATTTTAATATAAAATATTTTATGTATTCTTTTTTTTAAAGTTTCAAGATACTTACGCTTTCTTTGTAAAGGTGTGGCAGCTAGGTAGCGATAGGTGACATTTATGGCTCCTGAGAAATTAGATAAATCCTTGAAAGTATGAACATAGCGTTCTGAATTCAGTTGATGTGTGGATGTTTCCCTTATAAGTTGTTTGTCCCCTTCCTAAATGCCAAAAGAGAGGCAAGGAAAATAAATAAATAATGGTTGACCATGGATTAAATAAAATTAATTCTTACACAATGACTATATGAGTATAATATACAGTATGCAGTGTTACATACATACAATTACTGATACTGTAAACTATGAATCATCATCACACACCTGTTCCTACCAGTTTCTGCTCCAGGCTCTCGCTCCTCTGTTCCACTCTGTGTATGACAATTAAGCTTGCTGTTCTACGGCATCCGCTGATAATGCCATTCTCTTGATGAATATATTTCTACATGAGAATACTCACTGCCTTTATGTTAAGATTCATTTGTACAATAATTCAGAGATCTTAAATTTGGCAATTGATTTTACAGTTTCATCTGAGCCTAGCTCCCATCAAATTTCCTACAGATGAGTCATATTAAGCTGTTAACTCTTGTTCAAGCACCTTTAAATGAAAGACCACAGAATGTGCTCATGATTGTGAAACTTTAGAGTAATAGTAGACACGATAGTTGGATTTGGATAATTTGTTAAATAGAAACTTTAAATAAGTATGAGGACGCCAGATGTTGAGAATGGTCAACCATAGTCCTTGTGACATGGTGGTAATTTTTTTTACAAGTGCCTAATTAACTTCAGTTAGGATGCATTTGTACCAAATCAAGGAACTGTGTACAGATCTTGCACTTATCTTTCCAATGATAATATGCTTGTGTGTGTGCATGTGTGTGTGGTATCCTGTTGGAAGTGAAATCTGATCCTTTTATATTTAAGGCCCCTTTTATTTATTTTTGATGGAATTTTCATGTCACTAAATCTTCAAAAAGTTTATATTCAATAAAACATTCTTTTTAAATTTAAAATATATTCTGTTAGTCATTAATTGTTCTTTTATATAAGTTCAATGGTGAATTTTGAGTATCTAATCACCATTTGATTATTTATTGTCTGCAAATTAATAGCAAAATGACTGTTTGAATTGTGTATATGACTGAATAACGTTGGTAGAAAATTTGAGGGACAACCTAATTAGGAAAAAATGTTTCTTTTTTGTTAAAGTGTGCACTCTATTGTGTTATGTTGTATGGATCTGTTTCTACCATTCAGCATAGATTGTCAGGCCAGGCATGTGCAAACCATTGAGACAATAGAGAAAGTAAATGCATTAAATTACTTTGGTCCTGATATAATTTTGTTGTGGTTGTTAAAATTTTAATTAAACTCTTGTTCTAAAAGATCTGACACATTTCAAATACAAGTTTTATCTCAGAGGAAAAATTTACTGCTTTATGTAAAACTCAAATGCCAGTGGAAAAGATGACTAACTCAACCTTTTAAATCTATGGGCAGACTCAAATATTCTTAGAATAAAAACTGAAAATAGTAGATCATAACTGGGTATTTATGGAAAATTTCATTTTGCTAATAGTAGTCAAGATTCATTCTGAATATCATTTTGTATATAAAATTATGTTTATAAGCCTACATTTAGTAGTTAGTAGTATATTTCAATATTGTGCATTGTCAAAACATTTAGACAAAGAAAAATTATTTTTTATAGAGTTCATAATGCACTTGTCATCTGAGAAGCTATAGACTTTCAACATACTTAAAATTAAACCTTAAATGCTAAATTTCTTAGAAATATACTGGTTGAATATCCACCAAGTTCAGAGTATTTTAAATTCTTTACACATAAATATTTTTATTTGTGTGTGTCTGCAAGCATACAAAGCATCATTATGCTTAAAATAAACAAATTCATGATTGCCAAGAAGTAACTAAGGACTCAGTATAGCATCAATTACTTTAGTAATAATGTAACGATGTGCATAATTAATAGAATCTAGAAAAAATTTTTATAAACATTACAGTTGTCACAACCCTACATTCATTCTACTATTTTGTTTATATATGATGTCACATTCTAAAGAAAGAATCTCATCCTGAACACGTAAGAATCTTGACTTTTCTGTCATAAGATGAAGTACATTCATCCTGATTTGAGGACATAAAAGAATATAAAAGGAGAATATAAAAATGGAACTTATATGAAATCACTTTATTAACTTCTCAAGGACAAGCTTCTTTACACTTTTCAGCATAAATAAATAATGCAACTTTCACCTGAGTCAGCCCTGTTGGCTGCTTTCCAGACATATCTACCTGAACAACTAGGCTGTCCCTGGATACCTTCTTTCTGTAGTATATTTCTCAGTAATAAGACAAAGCTTTATGACAATCACTTTATGGGTGGGAATGCAATCCAATGAACTAGATACAGACTAAATATATACCCCTGTGACTACTTTGAAGATGCTCACAACCAAAAGACTAAGTTGATTGGGCATGTAGTGTCTCTTATATTTAGTTTGCCCTGTAGTGCTATTTGTCTCATATGCAAAGTCCCACTTTCTTTACTACTGAAATGCACATATGACTCTAATGAATAAGCATATACACTAAACTGTTAATATGCTTAGGATTTCAAATCACTAATGAATTTTCTAACAAAAAGAGATGAATAGAATCTGCTAAGTAACTCCAGAGATCTTACTACTTACTTCTAACTGTTCTTCTGATTTCTCTGAATTTCAAGTATTTTCAAGTAAGGCCAAATGAAGACAGAAAAAGAAAGATCTACTAATGTCTGTGCATAGAAAATGGCACACATTGTGGCATTCTGGAGTCAAGAAGAAAAATCAAGCCAGACAAGATTATGAAAAATAAAATAAATCTACATAAAATTATCAAAGGGAGAAATGATAAAAAGAAACTGTATTACATTCCTATAGAGGGCCAGTTTTCCATAGATAGTATACATTTTTAGAAGAGCAATTATAATGTCATATTAATGAATTATTAACTTAATAATAATAATACTAATTTTATTAATTTAATATTAATGATTGAAGATATGTTTCTGATCTTTATATATAAAAAAACCTTGGGATAAAATTCTGCTAAAGTGCAATTTAGTTAGATAACATCAGCTAGCAAATAGTGAAAATTTAAATAAGAAGAATACTGTCATTGAATTTATAATAAGAGAAGGGTGTTGGTATTTAACAATCACTTTAATTCATAAGCATTTTTAAATAATAAGTTTTTAAAGCTAAGAAGCAATCTGTTCTCTGCACCTAAACTGATTAGTCAATTTAACCAGAAATATGACTGACATAATCAGATAAAATCACTGAGAATGCACTTTTAGTAGAAGAGCTATTTCATTAAATAATTTTTTTACATTAGATGGCCAGCACCAATTTTAGACCAGACTGTAAAAATTCACAAAAGAGGACAATCGCATTTTATTTTCTTACTGATATATGCTCTACTATATCTTACACATTTTACAAGGAATTTAAAGATGTTCTACTTCAAAAAACATAAAGATGTTTTGCACTCAATGGTGTTTTAGGTCTGTTGAAAGTAAAAGATTAAAATTGCACTTGAAACTGTCTCATAAATGCAGCAAATAATTGACTACAAGCATCCATCCAATACCAAGTACTTGATTTACAATATTTGATTTATTTCGACCAGTGGACAGAGAATCAAGATATAAATTTTTATTACAAAAGTAAATCATTCATGAAGAGTATCTCTAGTTTTTAAGATATTTAATTATATCAAGAAAACATATGGTATAGCTAGACCACATGAGCCTTGTTCGATTGCTCCTATATCCCATAAACCTAATAGGCTTAAAAAGTTCCAAAATATGTATCATTAGCAAGTCTCCCCAGTTTGCTCTTTGCCTAAATCATAGCTATTTAAATCCTGTTAATCTGTGATTTTAGCCATTGTGAATTTACTCTAGAAGGCAGAATGAAGGGTTCACAAAATCAGAACCTATATTTGTAAGCAAAAATCTAGAATTCTGGCAGAATTTCACCATCAAAGGTCAGTGCTGAAGGAACCAAGGTGTTCTCCATAGACCCTCCCAGGAGGATCTGTACCAAGATTATAGGGCTGTCTCAGAGCATAGCAGAGTATCTGATAGGTACTTCATATATCATGTTCAGTTAATAAAATAAAGTATTTTGGGGGAACTACTGCTTGTGATTAACGTAAGAATCTCTCTTGCTGAGAGTCTAATGGAAATTTTCAGCATACTTGCATATAGGGAGGCATTTTTAGTCCTAGTGAGTGTAAAGGTTCTGATTTTCTGAAATATAGGAACAGTAATAATAACAAACATTAGGACAGATATTTCAGGTTCAAATCAGAAAAAGTGAAAGAAAAATAAAGCCCATATTATTCTCATTCAATATAAAATTCTGTGATAATTATAACAACAAAATACTGAAACTAACAAACTGTCTTATCATAATTTATGAGTAAGGTCTTTTGTACATTCCCATATTTCACTTAAAATTCATTCATATATATTTATTATTAATTTTTACTATCTCTTTTTAACTACTAAATAATTTATACATCAATATCTTTACCTCTAGATATCTTTTCAGTGAATATAAATATATAATACGGTGGCCACTTAGGTCTATTCAAAATTTAAATGAGGTGTTACACATCATAATAAAATAGTACTTACAAAAATAGTACAACTAAAAAGTATTGGTAATTATAAAATGTAATTTTTGAACATTCAATGAAAATATAGTAAATAAAGCAAGGAGTAATATTTTAAGACAAATTTTGTTTATATTATATATTTCAAATTAAAGCCACAGTCTAAAGGTTTTTGCATAATATCAATTTAGCACAGTAATGATAACTAACTTCCTTGTAATTAGATGAATATTTGAACAACAATAAATACAACATTACAGAAAGTATTGGAACTTAAATCAAAACAAGTATTAGGTTGGCAATGTATGGCAAATACAAAAAATAGATAATATTCATATTATATTTTTGCTCAAACTAAAACTACTCTAATAGCATAATTGGACTAATTCTAAGTTTGGCTAAAGCTTCATTTGGAAAAAAAGATAATCAACCTCCAAAACTTACCAGAACATAGCTATCTTCAATGTATAAGTTCATAAATAGGAGGAAAATGACAAGAACTCCCAAGAATGACACTGTAGAACGTTTTCGCAGGCATCTCATTTTATCAAGTATTTCAAAAATATGTTTCATTTGATGAAATTTAAACATTCTCTCCTGTGGAAAAGGGGTACAGAAAACCAATAGTGAATTTTGGATGCAAATATTTCTTCATCATGTATATGAAATGTCAGGTCTTTATAGAATCTCACCCTTCAAATGTTTGAACTTATATTATGTTTCCAATTTCACACATGAGATTGGCACAGAGCATTAATACAATGACATAAGGTCAATGCAGGGGTTGATATTAATGCAGAATAAATCAAGATGAAAAGAAAGTCTCATAGTTATTGACAAAAATAGAGAACTTTGGTAATAATAAAGTAAGAAAAAAAGTGGACTTTGATGAGAAACAATAGAAAAATATAAGAGAAAAACAGACATGCCAACTGCCATCAGTGAGATATAACATTAAGACAACATCTATATCCCATATTGAAATGAAAAAACATGGAAGAAAACACAAGTATGGACCTAATATTGTTCTCAGAGTAGTTGGCACTGAAAACAGATACTGGGAAGCTGGGTAAAGTGAAGTCACAAAAGAAGGTAAGGTTGGGGGTAAGTCGAAATTTATATTTGAAAGTTTGCGAGTTATAATTGCTTTGTTTATTTTTTCAATGATACTTGTTAAATCAGTATGAATTTTGTACACACATATTTGCATTGCTATGGTTGATCTGTTAGTTAGAAATTTAGCTATTTGAAATAATTCATGTAGTGCACAAAGGCAAAGTAAGAGTCAGAAACATTAGTGAAGACCTAATGTTTTTAAAAATTTCACTCTTCTATATGCTGTCATCCTCCAATCACAGATTCGTTTGGATTATTGACCATTTTTTAAAGTGCAAAAATTTCTGAAATGATCAACAAACTAAAGTAATATTTTGTCTAAACTCAATACAGTGATAGTTTGTAAATAGTGTCACTTAAAGTCATGTAATGGGTCTTCTTGTGTTTATCTTTAGGATGAAATATTTGTGTTCAAGAAACATTTCAGGAAGTGAAAAGTGTCCATACTCAAATCCTCAGAATTTTGCCTAAAACATAGCTGGCAAATCATAAATCTTCGATAAATTAATGCAAGAAAGAATCCGTGGATCCTTAAAATATAAAAAGCATAGAAGAATTCTAAAAAAAAATTACAAAATAAAAATGTTATTAGTATCACTGTCAATTTTCTTTGACCATATTATTTTCAAGAATTATTTTTGTTATTCTAATTCATTTGTAGAAGTTGTAAACATATATATAGAGATACACACATACAGGCACATAAACACATAATATAAGGAGCTAAATGATATATGACTATTCCAAATAGTATCAGAAGTGATAAATAATAATGCTTTGAAGGCACTGCTGCAGTTCTGTTTGCAATAATGCAAAATTAAACAAAACAACAACAAAACCTCAAGATGTATCTCCAAAAAGTTGAGAAATATCAAAATACAGAAGTCTTAAAGATTAATGACAGTCCCTCAAATTCTAATATCCAAATCCTCCAAGTTATAATCCACCAAAATCCATTCAAGGCAATACAAAGAACAAACAAATCTTTCACAGTGACCATTCTATGTATAACTATAATAAAGACAATAGCACAAACTTCAATTTACATATATGTGAGAACATTCATACCAAGGGCAAGTAGAATGGCTAAGAAGCCCAAACTAGAGCAAACAAAAGATTTTTCGGAAGACAGACCAAATTTATGTTGTTTATTAAACAAAGCACTTATGAGGTCTGACAATTAAGTTTGCAAGCTCATTCTAGAAAAGGTGCTACATACCTCATTGATGAATATCACTATGGTTACCTTTGAAGAAACCCCCCCTGCAAAGCTATGCACCCCAGCCAGTGCCTAGTTCACCTATGAAAGCAATTTTGAAACTCTTTCTGGAATGGCCATCAGAGTTGACATTGTATTACCCTTGATGTCCTGAATGTCACAAAATATCTTCCTTTCAATATTTCCTTTATCTTCAGGTAAAGAAAAGAGTCACTGGGGACAAGATCAGTTGAGTAGGAGGGTATTACAATACAGTTATTTATTATCTGGCTAAAAATTCTCTCACACCTAGTGCATTGATGTGATGCAAGATCTCCTTTGAAACCAATTTTGCATACACTTTTCTCATGTCAAGATTTTCAGTTAAGGCTTTCCTAACTGTCTCTCTATCAATGTTTATTTTGTCTGCTATACTTCTCACAGTCAGTCAACAATTTTGATGCACAGTTTGACACGTTTGCAATGTGTTTGTCAGTTCTGCTCATTCCCAGCCATCCTAATCTCTCTTCATCAGTGACACTTTCTCTTGCCTCAGAAAAACATTTAATCCATTTGTACACTGCTGTTTTCTTCATGGCATAATACCCATAAACTTGGACTAACATGTTACTGATTTCACTTCCACTTTTTGCCAAGTTTAACGAGAAAAGTAATGCTTGTTATTTGCTCTAATTCAAGTTCCAACATTCTCACAATGCTACAAAAAACATGCAACAACAGTAATGAACACCACTCAGCAATACACTGCCACACTTCTACATGAATACAGCTGTGAGACTCTGATATACCAAGGTTAGGAAACTTTACTGAGTTGTTTATACAGTGCTGCTAGCCTAAGCGCATGATGGCAAGTTTGGGAACTTAATTTTCAGACCACATAGACTACACCACAGTAAAAGAAAAGTTAAGGAGGTGAATAAAGTCATTTAAACCCTTTCCCCACCTCAAACATAGTTACCATCTATACTTGTGGTAAAATTTGCAAAATACAAACCTAGAGTGATAAAGTATACGAAGTAAAACCAAATAGATGATTCAGGTAGGAAGAGGGTTTTCTGTGAAACAAGAAATTTCTCAAGATTAGTGGGAGTATATCTAAAGGGCACAGAAAACAGCTTGAAGAAACTCCCATTGAGAAAATTTGGGAAAAATCAATGATCCAAAAAAGCTTATGATAGATAGTAAAATACTGAATAAATATAAATTAATGATGAAACTGTGACAATAAGAGAAAAAAAGTAAGAAACTTCATTTGTCACATGGGGAAATGATAACTGTACCACTTTCTGATCCTGGAAAATGTTAATTGAAAGTATTAGCCGTGTTCGTTGGCTCAGCCTGTAATCCCGCGCTTTAGGAGGCTGAGGTGAGTGGATTGCCTGAGCCCGTGGGTTCGAGACCTGCCTGGGCAACTTGGCGAGATCTCATCTCTACAATAAATCAAAAAATTAGTTGGATGTGGTAGTGTGTGCCTGTAGTTCTAACTACTTGGAAGGGTGAGGTGGAAGGATCGCCGGTGCCCAGCAGGTCGAGGCTGCGGTGGCCGGGAGCGGCCACTGCACTCCAGTCTGGGCGACAGAGTGAGACTCCAACTCAAAAAAAAAAAAAAAAAGTATTAAAGTTTTTTTCTCCACCATTTCTAGTAGGAACTGTATTTCATTCACAATTGACAACGAATATTTTTAGGTATCGGGCAACAGGCAGCACAGAGCAATATTCCAAAAAGTAAGAAAACCAATGAGTTAAGCTCCATGGTTTCTCCAGTTTGCTGCCAGGAAGTAGTTTTCATAGGGAAAGGCAAGAAGAGCAAATTCAGACAGAATCTAAAGATTTTGCTTAATTGAAAATACAGAGATAAGAATTTAAGAAGATTGAGATACTTGAAATTTGAGGGACAGAATGAGGAGGGATTTACATAGAAAGAGACATACAGGATTCTGCAGAGGGCCTCTTCTAATCTTTAAGTTAATACTAACAAATCATGTGTGTCATGAAACTTCATAAGACTGGAAAAGGAATCATGAAAAAGCAGTAGGCCAAACAGTTCCTGAAGTTACAAGGTTGGATATAGTTTGCAAGTTCACAAGTCAAGTTTGTATGTACATCAGCCAACTGGATAGACCTGGACATTAAGAAGAAACTCAGACGCATATCACCTTAGTATTGGGGTCAAATGAACTCTGAAACTGTTCTATCAAAATCTTAAAAAGAAGCATCAATAGCATCAAGTTATTTCATATAACTCATGCCACTATACAGCACAATTCACTTTCAAAGCATAAGGCAATATTGAAAACTTAAACACATAAAAATCGCAATATCTAATGTCTAGTAAAACTCACTAGGAACATAAAAGACAATATAGTCTGTAACTAGGATGATACCAATTAAAGGGAAAAAAATTAAGACATGCCTGTGATAAAACAGTTGAAAGAAGAGGATATTAAAATAGCTACCATAAATATGTTCGATAGGTTAAAGGTAGAGAAAAACATTAAAGTGATAAGGAGATAAATGAAATATTTAAAAAAAGAATTTCTAAAGATGAAAAGTACATCAAAATACAAATTCACTTGCTAGTAGATAATGAATAGTAGGAGAAAATATGTGCTACTGAAGATATAGCAATATGAATAATACAAAGTAAGCAAAAAGAGAGGAGTAATCATATACCCAAACTGCTATCTAATTTCTTATCCACAGAAAAAGTAATAATAAATGTTTTAAGCAATTAAATTTCAGAGTGGTTTGTTAGGCAATAACAGTTAATTAATGTATCTATCTACAGGAGACTTATTTTAACTACATATTTGCAAAATGGGTTTATAATAAAGTAAAAGATGAAAATAAACTATGCAAATATTAATCAAAGGAACGCTGGAGTGGATATATTAATATGATCCAAAGTAAACATTTAATAATTGATGAAGTTATCAATTTGTCAAAAGAAGCATAACTATTCTAAATGTGCATGCACCATATGAAAGTTTCAAAATACATGAAGCAAAACTTAATATTATTAAAAGGAGAAAGAGATGAATACAAAATTATACATAGAGATTTTGATATTCATCTTTTAGTAATTGACTGAACATGCAGAGAGAAAATCATTAAATGTAGAAGATATTAACAACACCATCAAATAAATTCTTCGAACTGAAATTTATGAAGCACTCCACTCAACAATAGCAGGATGTACATTATCTTCAAGTGCACACTGAATATTCACCAAAAAAGACCTTACTTTGTGCCATAAGACAAGTCACAATAAATGTAAATAAAGTGAAATTATGCAAAGTATATTCATAGATGACAACATAAATGTATTATAATTCAGTAGAAAGAGCTCAAAAAATTCTCAAATATTTGGAAAGTGAATAATACTAAATAATCCAAGCAACAAAGGAACATTTTTAAGAAGACAGAAATTAATATTTTAATTGAATAAAATTGAACCACAACTTATCTAAATTTGTGTGATGCAGGCAGAGAAATGCTTAGAAATTAACATGAAATACTTACATTAGAATAGAAAGGTATCCAAGATCACGCATCTGAATTGGCAAAACAAGACATTTTAAAAAGCATGGAAATGTAAATTAAAACTACAATGAGACATCACCTTAGAATATCTATTATCAAAAAGACTAAAAAAATTAAGAAATGCTGGCAAGGATGTGGAAAAATGGAAATTCTTGTGCACTGCTGGTGGGAGTGTGAGTACATCTATTATTGAACAGTATGGAGTTTAAAAAAATTAAAGAAAAACTACCACATTACTGGGTGTGTATCAAAAGAAAAAGAAATAAGTATTTAAAGAGATATCTACATGCCCAGTTTTTTTACAGCACTGTCAACAATAGAAAACATACGGAATCAGCCTAAGTTCAATGTACACATAAATTGATAAAAAATTTGAGACATATACATATAATATTTAGCCATAATACAGAATAAAATACTCTCACTTGCAGAAATATGAATGAAGTTGGAGAATATTACATTGTGAAATAAAACAGGAATATAAAGCAAATACTGCACTCATGTATGGAATCTTAAAAAGTTGAATACATAAAAGCAGAGAGTAGAAGACTAGGGAAGGAAGCAGGGCTATGGGGGGAGAGGTTGGCCAAAGAGTACAAAATATATGCGGAAGAGAGAATTTTGAATGTTATTACTACAAAGAAATGAAGTGATGGATAGGCTAATTACCTGATTTGATCATTATGCAATGTATACATGCATTGAAATATAAAACTCCTTTCCATAAAAAATTGTGTCAATTACTAATAAAAAGAAATTAGGGAATGAAGAGCAAACTAATCAATCCCAGAGTAAGTTAGAAAAATAACAAATTAGGCAAAAGTAAGCTAAACAAAAATGATAACAATAAAAGTGAAAAATTAAATAATAAGAAAAAGAACAAGAAAATCAAATGCTAGGCATTTGACCAGATCAATAAATAAAACCAACATAATAAGACCAAGAATGAGACAGGGGCCATCACTAAAAATTCTACACATATTAAATGGATAACAGAATATTTTTAAAAAAATGTATGCCAATAAACTTGACAGCATAGATGAAATGGAAAAAATTAGCAAAGTTCCTAGAAGAAATAAACAGAATAATTTCTTATATATAATAAACTAAATGAGTAGTTAAAACATAAAAAATTCTGTCCCTATGATTTCACTAATGAATTCTACTAAATATTTTTTAGTAGTTATTCTATACAAGCTTTTTCCAGACAGGGAAGTAAATATTTTTTATTGTCTCAAATCTAAAGAAGCATTTTTATTGAAATTTTATTTGATAATATTTTAAATCATACTATGAGAAATTTGAAGAAGTGAAAAAAATCAAAAGCAACTTTATTTTTAATATTAGTAAGAATCTAGACAATAGGCAATCCTAATTTTCTTACTTATTTTCTCATCTTGAAATCTATGTCTCATCAACTTTTCCCAACTGTCATGCCTGAACAAGAAACATAACCATCTTGTAAATTATGAACTTAGATTTTAAGTACTTTTCAAACAGACTCATGCTTATTGTTATTTTGGATTCTTCTTGCATTTTTACCATCAAGACACAGCATTCTTGAAAATTTGGATGGCTGTAATTTTGTCAAAGATAGGAACTGTCTTATTTCATCATGCCTTTTAACCAAAATCTCCCACTTCCCATAACTGATTCCTCAGTATCTGATCAAATTTCTTACCTACCACCATTCCTCAGGTAATACCTGGTGACTCTGGCCTGTCTTCAGCAGGAATCCTCTGAGGTTAACTTTCGCAAAGAATTATTCTAGCTTCTAAATGATTTTTAATCCATTGACTTGCATTCTGCTTCCTGGGTATAAATTTCAACTTTTCCTTGTTGAGACAGAGGAAATCAAAACCCCATTGCAGCAGACCTGTGAAGTCCCTTGAATAAGGTCATAAGTTCTACCATACCACCTTTAACAAGTGTCATGAATAATTTTTCTCTGTAACAGTTTTCAGTGCTGTGACTTAGATATAATCAAATTTATCACTGAATCCCCAAATTCTTACCCAAGATCCCAAGTTCACACTTTGAAGCCTTTGTCTTCACTTCTGGCTGGTTGATGAAGGATCCATTGGTCACTGCATCAACAGATGACAGTATGTTGAAGCACAGTGAGGGTAGATGTTGATACTTAAAATTCTGAGTACACTATATCAACTGGTGTGGAGTCTCAGACAAATAGAGGCTGGGTTACACAGTCCTAGGCTTCTCAGTATGTAAGAAGCCAGTATTAAGTTACAGTTAAGCAGATATTTGTAAGAACTACCAGGCTTCTTTGTTAGGACGGTACCTGCTGTGTTAGAAGTCTTACTTCTTGACTCTTTGAGTGGAACTTTACTTACTGAATTCCTGGGTTGTAAAATTTTCCTTGGCTCTTTGTGAAGTCTATTTGATTTGTTCCACCCATGAAAATTTCTCAGTGAACTGAAATGCCTTCTTAAATCCTTATTAACTACATGCTTCACCAACTCTGTCCACTTTCTTGTCATGATGTTGCTGAGGATAATTTGGAACTTCAATGTTCTCTTTGGGAAACTGAACATTTCCCCAGATTGTGTTCTCTAAGTCTCTCTCTCCATTGCTTCTTGTCCTCCTTTCTCCTTCTACTACCTTCGATCTTCCCTTCAGCTCTCTCAGTTTATTTGATATGCACCCTTTTAAACCTGTCCTTCTTAAATCCGCCTGTCCTCTCAGACTTTTGTCCCCTCTCCAACTCCTAGGTCACCTGAACTATCATCTTCCTGTCCCATCAGGGCTTTCAAGGGACTCAGGGACCCCAAAAGGAGATGTCTAAAGTTGAAAAGAAAAAAAAGACTGATTGAAAAAATAGGTTAAATGTTTTATTCAGATGAGGCTTTGGAGACATCGAGACAAGTGTTTGAAGTCCTCTCTGTTTCTTACCTAAAATATGGTCATAGCCTCCATAAAATTGCATATCCAGGCAAAAGAAAATCTTAGAGGTCTCCTCCACAAATATTGGTAAAATCTTTAGCCCTTATATTGGAAGTAACTGGTATGCCACATCTTTATAATAAATAAATTGATTAATTAAAATAAAAAACAGCAAAAAAGTAACTATAATTTGGTACATCAGTCAGAACACAATATGAATAAACAATATAATATAGAGCAAACAGGAAAGTATATTACTGTATTGTTTGATTAATGCCTCAAGTTTTAGAATGAAAACCATAATATCTCAGTATCCACATATGAGATTTTTCCATCTCTGGGTTTCGTTACCATATTACTTTATAAAATTTTGAAAAGAGTTTTGTTCTAATTGTCTTAGAGAAAAATGCTTATACTATTTCTAAAATTCCCAGAAATATAGACACTAATCCAAATACTTTTTAAGTTCATATGACATGTGTATATCCTTGGCAATTAAGACTAGTTTAATATTGTTGGTTAAATGAAAACACTATGTCTTCTGAGTTATAAGCATTCAGTACTATGTGAACATATATTTTATTTCTATTTGAGTTTACTATTCAAAAAAGGTCATATATGTACCAGATGCTCAAGATGTTAAAATTATAAATCCAACCTTAGAATAAGCATACAAGCAAATATACAATAAAAAAGAATTGCTGATACTCATTACTTCATGTATCTCAAACACAGCACTAAAACAAATAACCAACGTGTTTAACGTTTTTAGGTTTTCACTTATGCGATATTTGCTAACATACATTTGCTGCAAAAGTACTTAACAGGGAAATAACTTGAGGTGATGACTAGCTTTGTTTGGTGACATAATATTCAATAGACAATTTTCAAAATCTTTGTTGTTAACTTGCAACTTTGAAGTTTTTTAATTTAAATTAAGTGATTGATATTCATCAACAGTCTAGGTGATTTCTAAGTAAGATGAAATACTGAAACACTCATTGCTAAGCATAAGTTTAATTTTATTTTTATTTTAGTCTTATTTTTACAGACAGACTAAAGATTTTTGGGTCTATCAATAAACATATTATTTTTGTTACATGAAAAATTGTACCATGAGGAAGCATGAACCTATAAGAAACTATGAAATGGTATGTTCATAAATTTTTGCTAGTCTACATAATGAGTATGTGACAGAGAATTCACAATCATCTTTTTTCTAGTTTTCTCTATCACTAAATATTACTAATAGACAAAAATTATCACTGTATGCAAGTAAAAATACTAGGAAAAAAAGGGGTGAAGAAAAACAACTTTGCAGAGTACACAAGGAAAGTAGGGTGTGTTTTAAGAAAAATATACAAAATATGAAGTATTTTTATTAAGGTCAAGAGAGAATAATTTTGTCCTAAAGTAAAATGATTAGCTGTTTCAGAATGAGAAATAGGAAAAGAATAGAAAAAAAAACTAAATGGATATAGAAAGTTGTCAAAGGTTTATGGAAAAAGAACTTTATATGTAGTTAAGCTGGTAAGATTGAATATATTTATTTATAAGGTTTATTTTAAAAAGGAGTTGAATATTGTATTCATGCAAAACTAATTTTTTTTTCCTGTTACACTTTATCAACAGAGTACCTGGTCTCAAATCAGGTGAAGTGGGGGCCAAATTGAGGCCCAAACTTTATCTTTACATGACCATTTGTATATTTAACCCTGAATTGTACCTCACATCTTTAAAATAAACATTTTAAAAAGGCAAAAACATTTTTGAATTTTAATAAAAGGTATTTTTTCTTAACCCTTTATTCAATCTTCCTAGGAAACCAAGTTTTTTTGTATTATCAGGATAGTTTTCTGTGCTTCATGCTAACCTTTATCATGTCCTTGATTATTAAGAGAACTGAGAATTCTCACTTCTAAAAGCAGTCAAGCGTTTTAGAATGTTGCCTTTTCAAAATCAAAACTTAAGTGAAATCTTCTTGTTCTCAAACTGACCTTGAGATTTCTCAAAGGCGCCCTGGAAAATCTCAAAGAATTCGTTCTTTCATCTTTTGAAGAGAAGCATTATAAATGATTTGGTTTATTTGATTGATATGTTTCATTGTATGAAAAGACACAGTCACATAAGAAGAGACACTTTAATTTTCCTTAGGTTATATTTTGTATGGGTGAACACTAGTAGATATTTCAGGAATTATATAAAATTTCTAGAAATTTGTCAATGTCTTTTCTCTTCATGATATATCCTGATATAATGTAATCAATAATAATTATAATCAGTATTTGACATGTTGTATGCCACAAAAATAACCAAATTCCCTTGTCAATTATGTCATTTTTATAATAAACTCTCATTTGATCATTATTGCTAATTTAAATTTTCTGCCATTCACATATAGTTATTGCTTTACTCTGATACTTCTTTGAAAATATTAGCAATCAGCTTTAGGACAGAATGCTGTATGATGACATTGATTAATTAACTTTGATACCATACCACTGAGCTGAGTAAGAATTTCTAGAACTATAGTGGACAAGTTTATGGGTTCATAAAATTGCTAACCCCAAATCAAGCACAACAAAAATCATTTACATGGGACTAAATGAACTGAAGAAGAATGATTATGTTTTTTTTGAAAGTTTGCTGGTTCTTTAATGTTTTATTTTCTAAATAAAAGAAACCTCTTTCCCTTTTCTGTTGTTATTTGTAAAACTGCAGAATTAGCCTGATACAGTTTCACTTTGTGTAATAAAATGGTGAGTTGTTTTTTAGTTGCTGGACCCTGGACTGCAAGTTATGTAGACTGAGCATGTCCAGATAAACCGGGCGTGCAACCACAGCAGAACCTGTTATTGGAGCAAGAAAGAGAGGCTGAATTAAAAAACTGGTATCTCTTGACATGATCCATGACCAAATAAGATCAAGCCCTAGCATCACCACCTGGCAAGATCCAGTCAGATCACACCTGCCACCATCACTTCACTGAAAGATCCAGTCAGATCTGCCTATAAAACCTGCCCCGGGTAACAGCTCAAGGAGACAGATTTGAGCATCTCTCTACTATTATCTGGACCACTGATTCACATAAAGCTTCTCTTTTTTCAAAAACAGGTACCATAGTATTTTCTTCTATGCACGTTGGGCAGCCAGCCCACTGCGTACTCAGTAACATTTATTATACTTGCAACAATCAGATTATAATTTTCTAAACATAGCAGGGCTCGGTGGCTCAGCCTGTAATCCTCCGTCTTTGGGAGGCTGAGGTGAGTGGATTGCCTGAGCCCGCAGGTTCGAGACCCGCCTGGGCAGCAAGACCTCATCTCTACAATAAATCAAAAAATCAGCCGGGCATGGTAGCGCATGCCTGTAATTCTGGCTACTCGGAAGGCTGAGGCGGAAGGATCGCCGGAGCCCAGCAGGTGAGGCTGCGGTAGCTGGGAGCAGCCACTGCACTCCAGTCTGGGCGACCAAGTGAGACTCCAACTAAAAATAATAATAATAATAATAATAATAATAATATTCTAAACATAAATGAAACTTTTATTTTTTCTCCCTGCCTGATTCTTCCCAAATTTGTAAACTATTTTCTATTCTTATTTTCATGGTAATATAGTTATTTACATAAGTTTAATAAAAAATATGTTCCCTTTGTTGCAACAGGACACAATAGAAAACATTGGTTATATTTCTAAGGCTTTGACTAAATGTTATATTTGAAATGAAGTGCATAGAATTTGATTTAAGGAACTGAGATTAACTCTATGAACCCAATGTTTACAAAACTGTCTTGGAAAAGCTGACCCAGTAATGATTGATGTACAGGGAACACAGATGTACAGAGGAAGATCACTTCCTGGAAGGCCCAGGGAAGTTGGGATATTTTTGTGAACTCAAGAAGAAAGGAATTCGCCCAAATCTTTAGGTACCCAAGCGAAGAATGATAGCAAGCATTTGGCTTGTCTCCCTAGTTTCAAGAGGCTTTTAAAATTCTAGTCTGTGATGTTCAGCAAAGAAAACTCAAAAAGACCTATGTGGTCAATTACCATTTCTACTTCTTTTATGGGAATAATCTAGTCAAATCTAGTGAGACCAGATTTTTTTCCCCCCAAAATAATATTACTTTGATTATCTTTGACCAAAATGGAAGTTACTATAGAGACAAATTTTATGTTTCAGGGAAAAA